TTTACGTGAGTAATGCGGTGGTGAGGTCATACGGAATGCAGGAAAAAGGCGAGCCGGAGTCGTGCCGGGTTTGCGGTGTGCTTTATGGGCCTGATGATTCAAATCAACTGAAAGCCATTGCTTTCTTTTGTGTGTTGTGTTTTACATATTGGGTAATGATCAGCGGCCAAAATGCTCCTTCCGCTGCTGCAGCTGGATAACTATTTGCTTTCTTATGTGTTCCACAGCTGTCATTGAACACATCTCGCAGTATACCTACGTCCTACGCCTTTCACGATTTTAGTTGAAGCAATAGTGTGCAAAACAAATGTTCTCCATTGGGATTAGTTAACAACCGATGCTTTACCTGAGTGCACATATTATAACGTACTTTCCACATTCTGTCACCAAGTCAGATCACCACACCTACCTAACCGCGCCCCTCCCTGGCCCGTCAGGTGCCACTGCCGGGCCGGTTTCTCTGGAGACCGGTGTCAGACCAACATTGACGACTGCCTGGGTCACCGGTGCGTCAACAACGCCACCTGCGAGGATGGCGTGAACCAGTACCGCTGCCGGTGTCCGCCAGGGTTCGCCGGTAGGTGACAGGCCAGTCGCGCCGCCGCGCTGGGTGGCAGGACGAGAGCCTTGAAAGCCGACAGGGTTGTCGAAGATGGTGTGCTCTGTATGCTTGAGTTAGGATGACCATGTTACAGGCCATATACTAATAGTGCGTAGTGCGCTGCATTTATTGGTTGAATTTCATAACAATGAGCTTCGGCATGCTCCGCAGGTCAATATTGCGAAAAGGAGATTGAATACTGCAGCAAGAGCTTCAACCCATGTAAGAACGGTGCCACGTGTGTGGATCTGGGGACCTCGTACAGCTGCACTTGCCCCACCGGCTTCCAGGGGCACAACTGCTCCGACAACATCGACGACTGCGTCAACCACCTCTGCCAGGTGAGGACATCGTGTTGAATTGTCATTGGGACACTCGGCCCTCTTTGGGTTGGGGTATTGCCTTCCTAACGGAATCAGGTTTTCTCTTCATTTCAGTGATAGAGTACAAGGATTTGCATTTTACCTGTGCCTCACCAACAGCTGACCAATTCTCTCGTCCACCCCCAGAACGGCGCAGCCTGCATCGATGAAGTCAACGGCTACTCGTGCAAGTGTTCGGGCGACTTTTCCGGCAAGTTCTGCGAGCTGGGCCCGATGGTGGCTCTCAACTATCCGCAGACGTCGCCGTGTCAGCAGCATGACTGCAAGAACGGTGTGTGCTTCCAGCCAAAGAACTCTGCCGACTACGTGTGCCAGTGCTACGCCGGCTACTCGGGTACGTAATACTCGAGGTCGGGGTATAATTAGGTCTTGATGGAGATATAGAGGCTTAGAACATTACATTTACTTGACTAGGACACGTTTTGACCAACGTAGCGCAACCAACCCGCTTAGTGATTGACCGTTAGCGATGATCAATGACATGGTCAAATCGAGATCAATGATCAATCATGTAATCGTCGATTTATATCAACTCTCAACAATTCAACATTAGTAATCGTGCCTTTCATGACTATATATACAATAGCTAGCTATAATAGCTAGGTATGTAAATATAGCTATGAATCCGTGCTTTTGTGGCAGACTGATCGTTTAACCGTGGGTCTATTTTGGGACCAATAGCTTGCCATGCCGTTTATGCTGTTATGTTACGTGAACCGGATGTGGTCACAACCATCCAATCCCATTGGTCCCTTTCCAGTAAACTGAAACCACAGCTAGTGGCCGAGCAACGGAAATCGTTACGACCATGCAGCGGCCGTACACCATTCATTCCACAACACTAAAACTCCCCAACGGTCCCCTAAAACCGCCCCAGCCCGACATTCCACCATTCCGCCGCTCCCCAAACCGTCTTACGGCTCTGACATTCACCCCTCGGTCTGTCTGACCTGCAAACTATGACCCTGCTCGTACAGGTAAACACTGCGAACACCTGAGCAGTCTGCGGTTCACGAGGAACGACTCCTACCTGGAGCTGGCGCCGCTGAAGTCCCTGCCGACCGCCAACCTGACCCTGGTGGTGATGACGGAGACCCAGAGCGGAGTGCTGCTCTATCACGGCCGCTCCCAGCATCTGGCTGTCGAGCTGTTCAAAGGACGGCTCAGGATCAGCTATGATGTGGGCAACTACCCCGTGTCAAACATGTTCAGGTGAGAAAATAAGAAGGAATGGTAAACTGAATATTGAATAATGACACTCAAGTCATACATATCTAAGGAATGGTAGTAAAGCAAGTCGGTTCGAGATGTGACGCTTTACACAGAAAGTGAGTAAGCAATGACATGACATGTCTGCACACCTCGTTAAGATTGTATCATATTTTATATTTGTAGAATCTTTTGCTCAGTTAGCCCCTGTCATTGCCTAACTCTTCTCTCCCTTTCGGCAGTTACGAGGTGATCAGCGACGGCCGCTCTCACACCATCGAGCTCCTCCTCGACCACAAGCGGCTCACGCTGCGTATTGACGGCGGTCAGACGCGCTCTATCGTTAACGAGGGCTCTCAGCAATATATGAGGGTGAACGCTCCGCTCTACATCGGAGGCCTGCCGCGGAAGGTCGGCGTCAACGCCTACAGCCAGTGGCACCTGAGGGACATCTCCAGCTTCGGAGGTGAGCACTGAGAGCCAAGAGTGGTGGTAACGTAGTGCGTGGTTTTGTATGGGTTGGCCTTCAGGCTTTGAGGTTCATGTTTCTCATGATTGCTACGTAATGTGAATGTGTAAGGCTTGATGACATCCGTATAGCTTTTGGAATCACGTGCTATTAAGCATCAAGATTATAACGGTGTGGCATCTCATAGTGGTATTTTCTTTTCTTTTATTTTTGCTTAGCTAGAAGATAAAGTTGAGTAAAGCAATATGAAAAGGTATCAAATCCAGCAGTAAAGCAGCATGCATTGCCCTTTACACAATCCGGATCAGTTTGTTTTGCCATAACACAATATTTCCCGCGAATTCATTTACATTTAAACTGCACCAGCCCTCTATCGCCTCCTCCCAGCCTGCACCAACCACCTCCTCGTTCTTCAGGCTGTCTGCAGCGGCTCTACATCGACGGCAGTCTCAACGACTTCCACGAGACGCCCGGCCGGCGCCACGTCAAGCCGGGCTGCTCGGAGGACCTGCCGGGCCGCCCCGGGTACCAGACGCAGCAGCAGCAGCAGCAGCCGCCGCCCCCGGACCCCTGCCTGCCCAGCCCCTGCCTCAAGGGACGCTGCAAGAAGGTCGGCCGGGGCACCGACTTCAGGTGCCGCTGCCGGGCCGGCTGGGGCGGCAAACTCTGCGATCAGGGTAAGTGGGAAGAGGATATACGAGTAAAGATTATTGCTGCTATCGCCGATGTATGGACAATGCTGGCTGGCTTCTGTGATGCATGCGTCATCCAGCTTTCTGAAATGTGTTCTGTGCTTCTCTTCCTTATTCAGAAATTAAACTACTCGCCACCGGGAGATCCCAATTTATAGCGTATCATGCCTTCGCTTACATTTGCCAATCCACGTTTCTTTGCAGTTTGCACTTTTAACCCGCCCCTCCTCCCCACAGCGCCCACGTGCCGTAAGAACACCTACAAGGAGTACGTGCGCGAGAACTCGTGCCGCTCCCGGCGGCCCGTGCGCAACGCCACGTGCGGCGGCTCGTGCAGCAACGCGTGCTGCCGGCCGCAGCGCTGGAGAACGCGTAAGGTGCGTATGCTCTGTCAAGACGGTACGCGCTACATCAAACAGCTGCAGATCGTCAAACGCTGCCGCTGCAGCCGTAAAAAGTGCCGCCGAGCCTGAGGCTCGAACCGGGAACTGAGCGGTGTTGTATTGTGCCGGCTAACTTACGACCTAAGTGGACGGGAGTGAGTGGACATTCAGTGCCAAGAACTACAGGCGCTTGTCGCCGGTCTTAGTGAAGTGTATGTCCGAACTCGAGTCCAAAATGGACCGAGGGCGGCATGAGTTCGTCTCTTACGGTCCGGATTGCGTCCGGAATCATGAGTCTGGCCGGCATGAGCCCGCCCGGAATCGTGAGTCACGCGGGAGACGTCTGAGCGCGTGCCGACGGGCGGACGCGCCTGCAATCCCTCAGCACTAAATACCTGATCGTACTTAGTGGCTGCACATAGGATCTGATATTATTATTGATGTTGCGTTGTTTGCTCGAGCGGCTCGGTTGCGTACGCAGCTGAACCGGCAGTATTAGGCTCGTACTAAGCGGCTGGCGTGGCGCCTACCTGCGCTCTGACGCTTGTGAAGTGAAGTGAGTGGACTAAGCGGCACAGCGCTGTCAAATCGGACGCGATATTTTAAGTAGCGATGTTACTGACTGCAGCTGACTCGTGCTGGGTGTGCTGGCGCCGCACGGGGCGTCCGGTTAGTCTTATGCAGCTCCTCGCGCGCGTTGTCGCCATGTGTGGTCTACTTGTTCAACTTCATTGCATTCATCAGAGATTAGGGTCGAGCGGTGGTAGGGTGGCCGATGATATGACCCGGCGACACTTCTATTTTTGTTGTAAATAATAACTAGAACAAGGTCGTCGTTGGGAGTTTTGCATGTTTTGGCTGCAATATATCTACCGCTGCTCGAATTTGGGTTCCTTATGTATGAGTAATCTTCTTGCGTTGAGGTTATGATCCCCTTGAAAAAGTGAGCACTTAGAAAGTTTGAACTGAGCAGGATTTGAACCCGGAATGCTGGGTAGTCACGTAACCTGCTACGGCCGCACTGGAGGTGTTGCGGCACAGCATACTTTAAGGCGTATACTACTAGCGCCATCTACGAACATCCACATAAGTACGGCTCAGCTCCGCTAACATTTCATTCGCCCGTAGCCGCACCGCGCTGTTCAGTTCTGTCCTGTCATACTGATCTTGGTTTCCCCGAATCCTATGACGTGAGTCGATAAATCAGTATCACACAAAGCACTCCTCGCTCTAGCTCGCCACCGTCAAACAGTTACACACCGCTCTTAAAACATACATTTATTATTTTCTGCGTTAGTTATAACATACAGGTACCCATTTGCTCTCTGACGATGAACGATGTCGGCAGGAGCGACTTTCACCGAAACTGGGCCGGCGGGGGCGGCACTGAGGGGGGTAGGTGACCCCGAAACGGTACCGACATGACCCTCCGCGCCGGGACGCGCCGCCGAGTGAGCCTGCTACCTTCAGATGTCCAGCTGCTGACCATAGTCTGTTTACCAATGGGCACCCACTGCTTGAACATCTATATATCGTAGACTTAAAGCTCAACGATGCACTAAGTGGCAACCTACCCGGAGTTGGGGTGCGAATGGTACGGGCTGGAAAGCATATCAAACGGGGCTCCTACGTGGATTAATATTTACACCAGGGTGCCAGTCTGCCTGTTTGTATGTCTGTCTGTCCGTCGATTTGACACGGCTTCCGAACCAAACATGGCGTCTCTGCTGACATATTGCACATACAGGATAAACCAATTGTACTGATAGGTTAAATTTATGAGGGTAAAACTTAAAATTAACGAAAAACGACTGAGTCCGGCACAGACCAGCTGGCCACACAGTCCGCGAACAATCAAACGCGACAGTTACAATCTCAAAACTGTACAGCCTCGAAACTGTAACCGTATCTACGAGCAGTAGGCCTTAGCAATACCAGCAAAGTACCCAAAGAGCCCCAAAACCCAAGCGCACAACGAATACTTATCTAAAATGACTGGGGACAGGCAGATGGGTTGATGCAGGTGCCGAGCCGACGGGCCCGGTTCAGGTGCAGAGTGTCTCGCTCGCTCGCTCTCTCACTCACTCTCGCTCGGTGTGTATGTGTGTGTGCGTGGTGCGGACTGACACACTCGAGCGGCGGAGGGTCCAGCCCGTCCGCGGCTGCCCGGGCGCAGCCAGGTGCCGCTACACTAGTGGGCTCTTGTGCCACCGTTCCACTGCCGACCGCGGAATAACACTCAGCGCTCAGCTCGCCATGAAAAACAAGACTAAGTCAAATTCCTGCAAAAATACAGAGCGCTCCACGGCTGCAGTCTCGAATGGGCCGCTCTACCGGCGGCATTTGTGCCACAGTTTGCGCACGCAGCTTTGGCACGAGTGGGGGAGTCCGCTCACGGCTGACGGCGGCGGCGGCGGCGAGGGAGTCGGCGCGGCCGCGGCGCCCTCCGCCCGCGCGTCGCCCGCCGCCAGACGGCTCCGGTCGTACAAAAACGCGCTGAGGTAACGAAACGCCGCGCGCGCGCTATCACAACCTCACGAGGCGTCTGCGCCGGTCCGCGGCGGCGCGGCGCCCTGCTCGGGCCGCTCGAGCGTGATCTGCACGCGCACCGGCTCCTCCTGCAGCTCGTCCTCGCCGTCCTCCCGCAGCTCGTGCGAGCTGCTGCTCGGACTGATGGGGATCATGGACTGGTACCAATCGCGGTTGTCCTCCAGCGTGTCCAGGATGTCCTGGGCGTCCGGGTGCACCAGGTCGGCCCACGTCTCCCACAGAGGGTGCACGATGTAGTCCATGAAGCCCACCTGAGGGAGGGGAGGGAGAGTCAGTGGCGTGTGGAGGGTGAGTGGAAAGTTTGATGTGAGCCAACTTAAATGGTATATTGCTAGTAGCATCTTAGACAAGAGGTTATTTGAATTGGTGATGTCGCACGAAGTTACGTTGTTGGTACACCAGAATTTCCTTCTTTCAGCCTAATAATGTTTACCCTTGCAACAGCTGCACATTCTAAAATAAATAATACATATTGCACATCCGTCATATGCATTTATTTGATCTGCGAAGTTCTACGTCAAAGCATCAACACACCACCAAACTAACGACCTCCACCGCTCCAGTCCACACCACACGCACCTGCGACTTTTCCACGGTGGCGTTGTGCCGGTCACACATGGGTGAGATGTCCATGCCGATCTCCCGCTCCCGGTCGCCCTGGTGGAAGAACTCCTCCATAACGAGGCCCACCCAGCGCTGGTAGATCTCCAGCGGTTTGGTGGGGCTGCTCAGGTCCGAGCAGTGCACCATGTTCTGTAGGACCTGCGGGGGAACGAGAGAGGGTCGGGTCAGTACAGAGAGGGGTAGAGGGTGGGAGACCCGAAGGAAGGAGGGAGAGAGAGAGAGAGGGGGAGAGAGGGAGAGGTGGAGGATGCAGGGGACAGCGATCATCGCTGGATAGCAGCGGTAGATGAAGACATCTCAGGCAATGTTATCTTGGGTCACCATACGTTATGTTATCACAGAATATTGGTAAGTTACAGTTTCAAAAATGCCCAATATTAGTCATATGACGCAATAATGGCTTCAGACTAGAATAACTTCAAAAGTAAAGCAGCTTGATAGCCAGAACCATGAATATAAATCCCCAGTCAGTCTCCGCATTCTAAGGAGTTCTCTAAGACGAAATCACAAATTATCTCGAACAAAAATAAATCGCAGCTGAGTCAGTCTCATAAACATGGTTTAATTTCACAGAGTGGGCGTCCCGCAGAGCGAAACTAGCCCACCATTCAGCCACTTGTGGGGCGCCGCTCCTATTTATACACCGTGCGGCGTCACGGCCGCGGCTGAGAAGAAGCCCGCTTACGGCGCAGTGGGAGCCGAGCTCAGCCCACTGCGGCCACTGGCCCGCCGGAACTCAGCTGAGAGTGATCTACGAACCCCCTCCCTCCTCCCCCGCTCCGCCCCACCGCGGCAAGACGCAGTGACCTCAGGAGCGGCCCCTCCCCCCTCTCCCCCAGCCGGGCCACGGGTTACGGACGTCACTTGTTCCTGTCCAACGTCAAGTGGTGGTCTGGGCCAGAGGCTGGACACCGGCCAACTGTGCAGCGCGTGCGCCCGGTTGCATCGTGTGCAGTATTGTGCAACGAATTTACGTGTTTATCGCACAAATGGTTCTTATTGACAACAAGATGACGTCTTTACAGCGCAGCAGCCGGTTCAATCTTTCGATTAACCCGATAAAGTACTCGCGATCGCATGCACTACTGCCAATAAAAAATGCCGTGAAAGGTTTCTAAACGGATCGAGTTATCCTTGATATCGCTTTAGAGATTCAACTCCAGCCTAGCATCCTTAGTCTCCAGCGTTTCTACCACTAATCATGTAGAACACCGACCCTAGTTGTATGTAGCTGGGCTCACCTGTATCCGGTCAGTGTAGTTGTCGAGTAGCAGGACGCCGGACCCGGCCACCTTCTTCGTCTCCACCATCGTCTTCAGGTCGGCCAGCAGGCTCATGTGTTTTGACATGTCCGTGGCGAGGACCTGGCGGAAGAAAACAACGGCATTTATGCATTGGCAGCTCAATGGTTTGGGACATTTATATGAACCCCGACAAAGTGTTATAAAATTATGCAGACAAGATTAAAGCATAATATAGAACATATGTTTATTTTTAACGTTACGATGCAACCCCTTAAAAGGAATTCAGACCGACCATTTGAACAGTCGGTCGGAAGATAAAACCACATCACGTTTGAGGAGCTGACGTGGTATCACGTTCACTGGTAAGGAGTTCAGCCGCATGCCTTCAGACTTTCTATTTATCCCTTCACGTTGCAAGACCCATTTTAACCGTAAGTACCAAGCTTCAAGCCCACTGACCATGTCTATGACCATCTTCCGCAGCGACTGTCGCTGCTTCTTGCTGAGGTTGGCGAAGATGTCGCAGTTCTCATTCTGCAGCAGTTTGAAGGCCACGGCCAGGTGGTGGTTCTCCAGGACCGATTCGTCATTGTACATCAGCGCCAGTTCAGAGCCTGCGAAAAAGGAAAGAACGGACGAAAACAGTGAGGAGATGACGTCAGAGATGGACCGCTAGAACATGACAGATATGACCCATACAATTTTTGGCACCCATTGCAGCGAAAACGGGAGCAAGTTGTAGTTAAGCCAAAACTGTTAATGCTGTACGTTTCATTGGGTACCTGCAGTTTAGGAATGGGTTTATTGTAGAGCGAACAGCACCAAGAAGCAGCGAAGCATGCCGGGACCCCGATACAATGGAAATCAAAGACGAGACGGCAGATTCCATGAGTGGTTCATATACAACTGTCGGCATGTCGGATTAGGGCCATCAGTATTGTGTCTGCATTAGTGGCGAGCGAGTGGCGCTTTCATCCAGCTCGCTGGAATGTATTTCAGGCAATATATCACGCTGAACATCCGAATTGCAGATGGCCTCGAGAGTGATGCAACATTTCGCTGTGACGAGTGGACGAAAACATACAATTATTAATAGATAGCATCCCCGAGGGACGCGCTGAAAATGAAACTCTCTAGATTTATCCACAAGCAACGAACGTAAAATAGTTAACGCTCAGCGAAACGACACTCACAGCCTAAAGTGATCAACAATCTATCCATAAGGTTAGAAATCTGCTCAGGTATACGTTAACTGTCAAGACAATTACCAACCCAGCACCACCACTAGCGCCTCTATCATCCCAGACCGCCAATACCACCGCCACTAGCACCGCCGCCGGTGCCTTCGATATGAGCGGATTAGGGTAGCCGGTCCATTGACGACGCGACTGTCAGCTCGGTAAGCCGACCTGACACTGTCAGCTCTCGGTTGGGTAAGCTGACACACGTGTCCGATCAGACGGGGCTGCTGACACGATCAGTCGGGGAGGGGGGAGGGAAGGCTGACACGGGCAGTCTGTGGAGCTGTGTCCACTTAGTCCAGACCATACAGTCACCAGCAGCCGGGAGTCGGAGCCTCGATCAAGAGAGCCGGAGCCGGAGCCGGAGCCGGAGCCGCTGGAACTGGAGCAGGGAGCCAAGAGCCGGGAGAACGAGCTTCGGGAGCTAAGTTCATGCAAAGATGGTATATAGGGAACTCACAGGGGAAGATGCCTTGCGCTACGGCGCAGAAACAGTGGGATTAGGAAGGCATGGCGGGATGGAGAGAGGCAGCTAGTGAAGAAATGAGAAGAGCATGATGTGATATGATAACAATCACAGGACTGAGGTCGTTGATTGGGATCTAGCTAGAATAAGTGCTAGGTGGAACGGATCGAAATGCATGACTTAATTGACTGGTTATAGGTACCATGTGACGCAAATGTCGATCACGGCCTCTGATTTTGACCGGTAACTGCAGATTGGAGAGCAATCACCGCGTCAGCTGGTGACCCGAGTCTGGCTGAATAAACTAGCATCAGCGGCAGATGCTTTCCAAGAACTGCTAGCTGATCCGGAGGATCCGATTGACGCCGGCCCGTCAGTCTTCGGCAAGAAAGCCAGCAAAAATAAGCAGCAAATCTTCTAGCCGATATTTGTCTTCACTGACGTCAAGATGCTGATGCTAAGCTGGCATTAAAAAGGCGGCAGAGCACAGTTGTGAAAAGAAATCAGCGGCGAGGGATTTCGCCATCCGATCGATTATCGCATATCATCGGACTCCGGTAAAACAGCCAAGTCTATCAACACCGTCAAACCTTGGGACCCAGCCAATTAAACTAAAAGATGAGAGCGCCGTGCGAAATGATGTTTGCCTCGCCGTATCGGAGCTCAACACCGCGGGTATCCCCACACCCCATTGCCGCACAATCACGTGCAATTATCACTCTGCACTCGGTACACGATGGCTCCATTTACTCGCCAGTGTCTACCTTCAATTGATCGACAACAGAACGTACGTGATACGTCGTACAACTGGCAGTCGATCTCTATCCGGCGGTCCGGAGCGACGCGCTGAATCGACACACCTGGAGAGTTGCCAGATCAAACACCCAGCCGCGCTCCACACAGGCGCATCAGCCAGTGTTTGTTGACCCCCGGATTCGCATCGGGGCCGAGCTTTCCGACAGCGGTGCACGCAGCGGGGCTGAACGTCACGCCGACTCGCCTTCGAGGAATCAACACTTGTTTATCAACCGAGAATAAAGCATGGCATGCTCGTCCACTTCGATTCGTACTCACTAGACAAAACTTGATCCCTCTGTAAGTTGGGTCTTGCAGCATCCCCTCACCGACTTGGCATCGAAAATGGGGACGGCAGAACCAGGCAAACTCTGCGGCGTGGGCGGGGGCGAAGGCGGGGGCGGGGGCGGTGGGCTGAGTTTTTAGGCATGTTCTGGCGGCGTCTGGGGCCGATATGCCAATTCGACAGCGGCCCAGGGCGCAGGCACGCGCCGAGCGGCGCAATCAGGCCTCGAGGGCAGTGTGCTCTCGCTCGCCGCGGGTCGATCTATCTTTAGCGACCGATATCGGCCATGCCAGCCGCAGCAGCCCGGGGGTCGAGCCGACGCTTTGAGCTGCCTCCAGCGAGGGGGGACGACCTGATCCGTCCAGTGATGCGCAGAGATGCAGAGTCACCAGGATGACCCGACCCAAAGTCAAGTCGAGGAGTTCCCTATGTAGTCCCACAACACTGATTCGATTCGAATGGCGAGGAGCGGTTCTCGCAGGCTGCTCACAAACGTCCAGAGTCAGCGCAGAGCACTTAAAGGCACCTAAACAGGCAGACGACCTTTCGCCGGGCCCCGTTTCGTGGAACCTGAGTCGATGTCTGCCTGCTGCGATGGATGGCGTAGACAGGCGCTGAGAGCGGCTCTACGCCCGCCGAATATGGATGACCCTATAGGTCAAATCGGCGCAGACGGCAACACGCCAACTTCTGAGTACCGTGCCAATCGACTCTCAGAGCCGACTCGATGTGCGACTCAGTAACGTTCGACGCTGGTAACTTGTTTTCCTCAATATTCCCTCCTCCCCTTGGCTTGATGTAGCTCTTCACCTGGCTCCAGAATCGAGCTAAGCTGCCGTTCAAACCAGCTCGTCACCCAGCACTCAGGTCACCATTCCTCGATTCCATCACACCTCAGACTTCAGACATCGTCAGCCGGTCTCCCATCCAGCAATACCGTCTGAGCTGCGGCAGCGGCGCCGTGTCTCGTCAGTGCTCTCTTGGGACACAGGACACGGCCTACAATGATCAGACGGTAACGGATGGCTCACCGCTGCAGCGCCAGTCAGGTCACGACATCGACAAGGCCAGCGGAGTGGTACGGAGAGGCGCCCTTGGCGTAACTGTAGACAGGCCGGACTTGGGCGTAAAGCACTGAGAATGCTTCTTTATCGGGCTTTCCGGAGAGCAGAATTCATCGCTCTTTGCGACATATGGTCAACGTTTTACAACGGCATCTGTTTATTTTAGGCACGTTTTTGTGTGCTTATGTCGTGACTCGTGAGTAGGGGATGAGGGCATAGAAGGATAGCGGTTCTTGTAACAATATCGACGTTTCAAAGAACTATCTGTGGACGTGAATGAGTCACCATCACATATTCTATTCAGCAATTCTAAAGAAACCGTACGGCGCTCGCTGGTCTCTCACCGTCGCATAAAATGTCAGCTCCGGTGTGGGCTGAAAAATTCAGGTCAAGCGACCAAAACATGACGTGTGCAGAGGAACTTAATTCCGTCTTGATTAGTTGACACATGACCAAGGAACCATAATCTTGCAGCAGGCACTTGCAAAGCAGAAGCTGCACAGATATCGATACTTTTCGGGTGTTCTCTGTCCAGGATATGATTGTGAATTCCGATCTCGGCGATGTCCGTCCGCTATATGACAGGTAAAACATGGGTCGCTCCCTGTGCAGAAACCGCACCCTGATTGTATAAAACAGCAATTCATCAACTCGTGACGCAGATGAGGACATCATCTCGGCCGAGTCTGACCGCAGAGAGACATTACCGCGGACGGAACATCTGACCGCCGACCGCCGACTGCCGTCTAGATACCACAGCTGTGACTGCATGCATGCACAAGGCTATCGATGCAACCAGAAGGAAAGAAGGTTGACACCATTGCAGAGTGACCACCGTCTAGAATAAACAAATCAATAAAGACGGATTTGGAATGAACTGCACCTACGTCAGATTTTTCCGTTGTATTCTTTATTTTCGTTGCGCCTTGATCGGTTATGAAGTGTTGTTGGAAGTTGGATTATCAGTATTCTCCCTCGATAACACCCCACGACGGTCCGGTATCTCACTCACTGGTGTTGATGAGGAACTGGTTAGTGAGGCCCGGATGGTCCACG